CGCAGAAGAATTTTGAGTCAGAGATTTTGCTGGTTTTGGCACGCACTCACAAAAAGGTTGCCCACCCCTGATCTAGAGTGATGGCACCATTCACCATTTATTTTAGGTCACTTAGTGAACAAAAAGAAGAACATCCTATGGTCTTTAACAAACACCTTTCAAAGTGCCAACAGGCAAAAGTTTTCATAACATAGTGAGAGAAATAGAACCTAAAAAACGTTTTATGCTTCCCTAGCATTACCATCATAATAAATTATAGGAGTCATAAGACTAGAAGATCCTCAGCCTAATTGTACTGTGCTTTCCTAGTGACAGTTTTAAAGGTGTGCATTCCCAGAAGAAGCACAGTCATAGTGCAGATGACAGGAAGAACAGTGCCCAGACATTGTTTGATGGGTCACTGACAAGGATTCTTAATTCAACTTCATAAACCTGACAGTCAGTGGAAACTCCTTCCTCTAAGACTCTGGAATTAGGTTGATGCTCAAACTTATTTTGAGGTGCTATGAGTTTTCTTCTTGGTTTCTGTGTATTAATAGGCATTTTTATGAGACTATAGGAGAAACTGTCAATAGACCCTATGCTATTTTTTTAAATATAATTTTTTAAATATAATTTTTTATTGATTTCAGAGAGGAAGGGAGAGGGAGAGAGAGATAGAAACATCAATGATGACAGAGAATCATTGATTGGCTGCCGCCCACATGCCCTGCACTGGGGGTCGAGCCAGCAACCCAGGTATGTGCGCTGCCAGGATCAAACCATGACCTCCGGGTTCATAGGTAGATGCTCAAACACTGAACCACAGGAGCCAGTCTCCATGGCACTTTAAAGTTCAAGGGCACTTTTCATACAAGAACTCTATGAAGTAGGTGTTACTGTTACCAGCCATTTCCAGGTCAGATATAAGGAAACCAGGCAGGAAAGGGAGGGACAGTAAATTGACCAAGATCACACTGATAAGGACCATGACTCTGTGTCCTAAATCTTAGCTGTCTGTCTTCTTTCCTCCATTGTCCCTCCGTGTCCATGTCGGAAGACACTAGAACACACCCCCATCAAGCTTGCAAACGCCTTACAAATGTCACTGAAATCGTGTCTCCCAGGAAACATTCAGCTGCAGGAACCTATCATCCTCTGGCTTTGACCTAGCTCCCTAATCTCCCTTCTGTCCCCTCTTTCGCGGGAACCCTACAGAGAGCCAAAGGAACTACTGGGGGTTTTCTGCTGATGTTGGGTTGTTTCAGGCCTTGGTGCTTTTGTGTGTTTCCTCTCCCAAACGCTCCTCCTCCACCTCACCCAAATCCATCTACCTGATGATGGAGATAGCACAGCTTTCATCTCCTCCAGGAAGCCCTCCCTGGTTACCCTTCCCAAGCCATTTCCTATAGCTGAGCCTCCTGCGCTCTCCTCCAGGCCCAAGGCAGGGCACAAGTCATCACTCTTACTTTATTGCACCTCAGTTGTTCGTTTATTTACCTGTCTTCTCCTCACTATACTGTGAGTTCCTTAGGGATGTGTTTGCAGCCTCTGTGTTTAGCTCATTCGCTGTTTATTGATTGAATATATGAATTAAAAAGTCAAGATATGCTCTCTCGCCTAGAGTAACCCCTGCAGTAGCTGGAATTCAAAATAAATCCCATGGCTTC